CTAAAGTCACGTCTCTAATTTTTAAGTACCTCCCGGTTAACAAATATATGTCTACTAATATTCTCACAAAATATTTCTAGAAACAACCTCATAGGACTAAGTATGTATCTGTGGAGGAAACATTCTAAAACTTCTCATATTCTGTCATATTACAAGTTAATTAAAATCAATATCATCCACCAAAAAGGCATGGCATGATACACAGCAGAGAAGGCTTGGCCTTACTAGGTTGTGCAGAATCAATAGACATTTTTGAAAGTACATTCATTTTCTGTAGAACAACTGGTAATCACGAACTCGGGGGCACTGTGTTGAAGAGAAGATGAGCAAACATCCCACGCCTTTTTATCAAAGACAAACATTTCCTCAGGGAATTACACTGTTAGCTTCCTCTTCATATGATACTCTCAGTTTCTTATGTTAAGCATTCCTTCCATTACAGCTTCTGTTTGATTGTCTCACATTTTTAGACTGAGCTTCATTATACAAATTTTAGGGGCCAGATTTTGTTTTCTTTTAATTTTTGGGAAGCTTGCAAATTCATTTTAACTCACTTTGGAAATATTTTTTCTTACTCTTTGCAACACCGGTAACGACATCAATAGTCCTTAACAAAAATTCCACAACTTGTTCCAAGTTTAATATAAAGAAAATACATTTATCTGATTTTTATTGTCAAGACCTAAGAACACAGTATGCACATATATGACAAAAGCATTTTTTTTTTTATTAAGTAGGAAGGTAACACTCAAATTAAAAGCAATGGCAATTGCTACCTATTTTTCATCAACTCCTCAATGCCTAGAAATGGTTAAAAAAAATAATGCCTCTCATTCTCAAACCCACACTTTTCTGTGTCTATTGCACACACAAAAATTGCTTTGTTTGGCTTACTACACTTTTCCTCTTTAGACAAGATGAAACATGACTGGGTAAATAAGATTCAGCAGTTACCAGGACAGACAATCCTCAGCCTAAATGTTATAAATCCTTAAGATGACTAAAAATTCCCCTAACATTTATTTATTTTTACAACACCATGATTTTTAGCCTGGTTCCCTAGCCAAATTCTAATTGGAGCAATTACAGCCTACTTAAATTCTCCATCTAAATCAGCAGGAAATGGCTGTCTTCCATTCCGAACAAATGAATATTACTGGTATGTCCTGTTAAACTTCTGCGAAAAATTTAAAAATATCTCAAAACAATTCTAAAACCTAGAATCCAGCTATGCTATCACTCTGGAAACATGCCAAATCAGAGTACAGCCTTGGGCCTTGAGGACGCCCAAGGCTGTACTTGTTTCAGGGACATAATTACAACATGATTATGTTGGTGCTGCAGGGAGAAACAGTTCTCTGTTCCAAAGGAGACTCAACTATAACTCAGCTCCAGACAGAAGGTAAATCCTTACCAATCCATCTGGCAAATCGTTCAACAATCACCTTTGTACCTGTTGCTTTAAGTCAGGAAAAGTGTCACAACATGCTAACGGTCTGTTAAGTTTTGTTAAAGATCTCAGCACATTTTCTAATGACGCGTAGAAGAGAGCATGAACACATACACACTCTCTTACTGAAGTCTTTTAATAGGTGCCATCCATTCCCTTGAAAAATGTTTTTGTCCGAGATTTAAAGCTGTCCACCTATCAACACTGCCATGACTGCTTTTTGCTAGTCTTTGTCCCCCTCCAGCCGGATTTTGATGGCACAAACACCAGACAGGTTCCCAGTGCATCTTTGCAGGGCAAAAAACCTGGCAAAGACTACTGTATCTCCCAGTCTCAAAATTTACCAAATGAAATATTGCCCTCATTAAGAATCTGCTCTCTGTAAAATAAGCTGTTTTCTCTTCTAAAGATTTTCTTCAAGTATTCCAGAAAGGCTTACTTCTCAGGATAGAAACCAAACCCGTAAAGCTTCATACTACAGAAGATGCTCTGCTACCTCCTTCCCCCTCTCAAGCTTACAACCACATTAAAAATTGTCACTGATGATCCAAACAGGTTTTTACACCAGTAGAAGAAAAAATACTACAGAAAAGCACTGATCACAATAGCCAACTTCTTATTTTCCTCACTCCTCAAATTAATGCAAGCCTCCTATATAAAAAGGAATACTACAACAAGACAAAAATATCAGAGGGAATTAATATTAAGTGTACCTATTACAAAAATGTATAATACTCAAAAAAATATCAGTGCTGATTCAAAACAATTCAGCAAATAACTGCTGTTAATCGTTTTCCCATAAAAACACCGATACAAAAAATTCCCATCAAAGATAATAACCACCAGCAACTCCTTCTACCATATGTTTATTCCATAAAATATCCAGTGTGAGCTGGGCAGTCCTGGGCCAGCCCTGGACTCAAAAGTTGCCAGCCTCACAGCAACCCAACTTGACAAATGTGCCTATTGACGGTCTGTAATAAAAAAGCAAAAACAGCTGAACAAGGAATAGTGAAAAACAAAATGTTCCTATAATAAAAACCACAGCTGAAGTCAGGCTTGAGATACAGCAGCAAGCTATCAAGGTAAAGCCAGTATTTTGATATATTTTATCAGTTATACAAAATTCACAAGACTTCTGATTACAAATCGCAAATACACTGCAATACCTGTAAGCATTGGAGAAAAATGTTATTCCTTCAGGGTCAAAAACATTGATACTTGTGTTTTCAAGAAATTACTTCAGCAGCAAAATACGCTAACAAAAGAGAGACAGTCTCATACTACATCTGAGGGAAAAAAAAACATTCAGCTTTCAGTATCTCCTGTCTCAGTTCTGCACCCATGTATACCAACCACAGCCTGACATACAAGCAAGGAAAAGGAATCACAGAGTTCTCATAACTGCAACACCTGCCTTCCCTGGGGCTCACAAGATCATCCTGTGATCACCAATCGATCAACAGGAAATCAGGAAAGCACAGCTGCTTCCTGATTCCCTTCACAGGAAAGAAAAACTGAGTTCACGAGCAGCAGTAAGGGAAGGCTCTAGACCCCAAAGGCCTCTGGCATTCACACTGACACAAAATCTTCCCAGTTATAAATTAACTGTTTAGACTGAAAAACCACAAGTCTCATATTTCTGCTGCTCTGCTTACTCTCAACCAAATCTGTTCTAGACTGTTTTGTAACTATTGTCTTAAGTTCAGACAAACTTAAATCACACCAGACCGCAAGTTACCTTTCTGTCTGAAACTTTTCAGTAGGGTCTTTTAACTCTGGTCTCCAATAACCACTTCGTCAAGCCAGCTGTAGCATTATTCAAATACATATAAATAAAAAATAAACACCAGTATCTTGTTAGAAATTAAAACAGCCAATCAGCAAAGTGACTACTGAGATAGGTTAAAGTAAAGTAAAACTACTGAGATAAGTTAAAGTCAAACAAGCTGTTTGTGAACATAGTTTTTGCCTTCGTCATTCTGGAGAAGATGGTAGAAGAGAAAGAGTGACTTCGGTATGACATGATACACAACTGAAATTCAGTGAGCCTATGACACCCTCAGGAATATAGACTCACTCCTCAGAGCCATAACAGCTAAAAAGTAAGACAATTACTGACATAGATCAATAACAGTAAGCCATAAGTCAAGTTAGGGTTTATGTCGTTCTCAAGGGAAGTTTGGGATTTATCGCCAGTTGGTTCCCTGAGACAGAAAAAGTCATATGCGGGGTACAGAGGAGATCACAGAAGGTACAGGACTAAAATGTACAGTTTGATAATTAAACAAATCCATAGGTAACAGTGAATCAAGTGGACCAGACATAATAATGTAAACCCCTATGGCACCAGAATTTCCTCTGCAGGGAAACGAAAAAAAAGAAAAAATTTGTGATCGTGTAAGTTTAGGCTCACTCTAAAAATCAGTTATGTCATTGCTTAAGAAGTTCATCTCATTCATTTTAATTGAGCACTATAAACTTAAGTGTTGAAGTTCACAAAATGCAAACTAAGAGATATCATACAAAAACAGAGTGCCCAGTAAAAACCAAAGAGAAGTTGAAAGGAAAGCCTTGAGACACCCGAAAATTTGGGGCTTTTTTATAGTTAGGTTTATATTTGAGTAACAGGACATACAGGTCTTTTTCTGCTACCCTGTGGTTCAAAACATCATAAGTAAGGCTGTTTTTACAGGACTTCTATCACTGTTGCTACACATGGAAACCATCAAACAAAATTCAATGCCACAAAATATTTGATCCAGGCAGTTTTGAAGAACAAACATCAAACCATTAATCTTTTCACGGAATTGTAAAGGTTGGAAAAGACCGTCAAAATCATCCAGTCCAACCGTCAACTCAGTGCTACCGCTGTAATCCTTAAACCTCTAAACCACATCACCCAGCACCAGATACAGATGCCTTTTAACTAAATGGAGAAAGATTTGCTAACTAAATATCTGTGATACCAAAATTAGGCTGTTAGTGGTTTTTCTCGATTTCAATATAGAGAGAAAAATCTATATCTCTCTAGCAAATAGGCCTGGCTCTTTTTTAGAAAAAAAACAAACCAAAATACACAAAAATAAACAACAAAGAAACAAAAAGGGAAAGAAAGGGGGAAAAAAAGAAAAAAAAACCCCTCAGTTACCATAGTTCATTTTCTCAAAACAGTCCTGGTATAGAACTGTTTCAGGCCCACCTCTGCCTCCTCTTTCTTCTAAAAAATTCTACATATGATTTGGGAAATAAACCATCTAAAATATTAATATGAAACGTTTACCTCATTCTTTCATAACATGAAAACAAAGAATTAAACAATGTATAATAACTGATAATGAATTTCACATGTGTAATTTTGTTTTAAATCCTAGTATTTTTAAATCAAAACAATCATTTGCATTTGATGAAGTATCATTAGAAAAAACAGATAACCTGCATTTCAAACAAGTCACACTTCACCTAGAAATTCCATCGTAAAGGAAGAGCACACACACAAATCAGAGTCTACTGAAAGTATTAAAACACTAAAGAAGAACAAATTACTTACATTATCTTCTTCCTCTGTATCATCATTGTCATTATCGTCATCACTATCCTTGAACCCTGGTGGAAGTGGTGGCCCAATGAATTCATCATCATCATCATCAGTATCCTCAGCTGGACCTTTAGTAGAACTCTGGGGTTGCATGGAAGGACCAGTTAACTCTTCATTTGAGCCGTCCTCACTTTCACTACTGACTATCTCTCTGCAAGAAAAATTTAAAACATTACTATTTCAAGAACATGGCCACCTCCATAGGAATTTTCCAATAAAAGATGTTGGGCACTCTTGTCAATCTATAGACACCAAAATTAGCAGCAAAATGTATATTAATGTACATTTTTATTAACCATCATCTTGAAAGCACAAAAAAAAGCTTTGAGAAAGGAATATCATAGTGACAGACAGTTCAAAAAACTGAAGAAAATAAAAAAAGTTAAATGGATTGTAAAAGCAACAGTACCACGTCATTAGTACAGATTTCAACATTGCTTAGAAACCAACAGAATATACCGTTACACAGCAATTTCAAGATTCTGTTTCAAGCTGCAGCTTGTACAGATGCTCTGCACCTCTGTTGTCTGGGTGGAAAACAAAACAGTAACTGCCCAGGCTCACACCCAGACTGAGAACACAAAGCATGGCGCTTGCTTTGAAATGCTGGTAAAGAATAATAGAGTACTAGGCACTTTCACACAAAGTCTAAACTCTGAAAGTTACATCAAATTGCCACTTTGATGTTGTTCAAATCGGTAGTGTAAACACATTATTTTTGGCATTGGGAAATTTCTGAAAAGTTGAGTTATTTAGTCCACGTTCACGCAGTTTATTCAAAATAGCCGCGCCCCCTCTGCTGGCAGCTCCAAGAAGCGCCACTCGAATCAGCAGAAGATCTCAAAGGAATTAGCAGCCTTTCGACTACATAAAGTGTATGTATCATCACAGTGATACTTTGCAGCACAAATCATTTGTTCCTTTCATATTCAGTGAGATAAACTCCCAAGCCAAGTCTTGCAATTTGATCTTATATTTTCAGAATTTTTAAGTGAGCAGACTGCAAAACAGTCTTATTTTTCTCTTCTCTTTCTCTTAAACTATAGAGGTATCACTTTAGGGTTTTTTTAAAAAAAGTTTAGGTTATCACTTAAAAACTGTAATAAAAACATGAAAGTTTAAGAACATAATAAAGGATTAAGAAAATCAGTTCTAACCCATGTAATTGTGACAGAGGAGGCATCCTCATTCTGCTCCCAACACCAGCTGTACACTAAACAGGTACTAACTACAAATTTTTGTGTTGGACAAGCAACTGAAACTCTATTTTAGGAATAAATCAAAAAAACCTAAACCCAACACAATTTAGGTCCTCAGATATTACAGAGAAGAGGCGGGTTTGATGCCTGAAAGTTTTTCTAAGTTTTCCAACTATATTTATTAGCATAATAAAGTAAACTACCTCTACATACGAACTTGCTTTTGCATAGTGATGACAGACATTTAAAGACTTCCATCAGGATATGATTATCTAGTAAAAACAACTCAAATAAAAAGAGTTTCTCCTACTCTACAACAATGGGGCAATCAATATCCTTTTACCAAAAGGAAAATTTTACAGCATGTGAAGCACAGCTTGGGATCTTCAAAGTTCTTCCAGTAAGTTATCCTCAAAACTAAGTTCACAATACTACGGGCAAAAGACTTGTGTTTTAACAGCTGATATGCATTCCTAGACTAAAAATCTTTTCCCCAAATGCTAAACTATTTAATAAGTTTTGGAATGTAACCAAAAATATACACTGTGACAGTGAGAAGGATGTATACAACATACAAGGAGGCCATTCCAATCCGGGCGTCATGGATTTTTCAGATCTTTCTACAGACACCCAAAAGCAATATCTACCTTTCTTCCTAACTACCCGTCCTTATCATTTTCTCATTTGCTAGGAAGGAAGTTGATCAAATCAAACATTTCAGTATGTTAAGGGGCAGTGTAGCCACTGTGCACATGAAATGGCCAGAGTTGCTGTCCTATTTTTCAACCCCACTCCAAGCTTGGCAGGCACAGCCAAGTACTCCAGCTACAGCTACTGGTATCCTCTGTCCTGACTGGAATAAAGTCAAACATACCAACACGCCAGTGCAGCCAGACCAAAAGCCCATCTGCCCTCCTGACAGCAACTGGGAGTGGTGCTGACAGAAAGGATAAAACAACTGGTGCTCCTTCAACTTTCAGCCTTCCAGTCTAACTCTACCAGGGGCTGTAAAGGAAGAAGAACCATTTTGCCAGCCCCTTTCCCAGGATTCAGAGAAGTGTAAGGAATTTTTTTTGCTTCCCCTTATTACCTCCTCAGTGAGTGAAACAAGCTGTAAGAGTAAAGAAAAGGAAACTGTAACAGAGCATGGATGGTACACTAAGAGGAGAAATAATAAAAAACATTCTGAGAGTTGTGCAAATATGTGAGCATATCCTTCCCATGTGTTAACTCTTCTTACATCATTCACTCAATTTTCTCCATTTTTTTCTTTTCATTTTGCAAAGCACAATTACTATACTTCTGTATAAATACATTAAATACCATAACTATTGTAAACATCCCTCTACGGCAAAACACCTCAAGAGCCAAAATAATCAGTAGCTATTCTTCACGTTGTTTTGGAGAGATCAACTAGAAAATTAGTATAAGGGCTACTAAGATATCTGAAAGTACCTGGAAATTAAAAAAAAAAAAATTAAAATTCAGTAAACTGCTGCCATTTTCAGGGAACAGATGATGCTACACATACTAAATCAGTTTATAGTAACTAAAATCTACTTTATAAAAAAAATAGAAAATCCTGTATTTCAGACTTAAATTGTTAGTTGCAGAATTGTTCCTCTGAATTAAGACTGAGGCCCAATGGCATGTCTCTTTCATTAGCTTCCTGTTTCTAACCACTAAGTACTAAGCCACATATCCTGTTTTACAAGGAAACACAAAACTTCCAGGAGAGCTTTTCATGTCAAGCCCTTCCTTCTCAATGCTTAGTAAAAACAAAAGGAAAAACAAAAGAAAATTTACTATCAGCAGCACTCGGATGAGTTACCAGAGCTTACCTAATAACTCAGCATACTGAAAGGTATTTGTTATCTTCCTTTATACAAAGTCCCTGGAGTTCTCTCCTGTCAGGTCCATTAGCAAAATGAAATGATTATGGAAAGCCTCTGTATCAACTGACTGCTCTCCACCTTACCATTTGTTTAAATTGCTTCTGTATACTGGAGTCACCCATACACAATACACAATCATGTTACATTTAAAATTTTTGTTGTTCTTCATTATGTCACCAAATAGATATATAAGTTCATCAAAAAAAAAAATGGGAGCATGGATATTTTTCCCTCGAGCACAAGAGGATCCAGAGGGCAGTATTTCAGTTATTTCAGTGAGAGTGCATGGCTCATTCGAGCTTTTCATAGAGCAACAGGCAAAAAATTTTCTAACAAAAATTTGCTCAGTCTGAAATTCTAAAAGTTTCTCTATAACAACCTACCACATATAGACTCTATCAGCCCGTAACATACATATATATAGGTATGTATATATACATACATACATATATATATATATACACACACATATATATAACATACATACATATAGGTCTGGTAGAGTCTTGTATGGCTTATTAGACTTTGATAGATAGAGAAACCTAAAAATTTACAGTGCACTCATCTCTGCAAGCCCTGCCATACAATGGAGTTTGTGGTCCCCATTGCCCTCAGCTCCTTTTGATCTTCCAGCGATTCAGAATTCAAACTGTAAAAGCCATAGCATACATTGTTTATCAATAAATGTTGGCAAGTCTTAAGAGTATATTTCATACTGAAGACAAAACAAAAAACTTTCTTTACCCCACCATTACTCTAGAAAACCTGCATGCAGAGGCTCTCCACCTACCTCACTTTCTTTTTCATCAGACATGAACAAGTACATTCCATTTACAAACAAGAAAAATAGCTGCTAATAAGGTTGACATGTTGTCATTATATCTGCCCTAATATTTAAAAAAATCCACAGATATTGACATTATTGTTATTTTTAAAAAGTATGCCCAACAGGATCAAGGAGAAGACTGCAAAAATGAATATCAAATATACCTAATATCAATATATACAAATATGGACACATCTTCAGGATGAAAAAAAAAAAAAATCAAAATCTGTGTTTTCACTGAAATACTTCAGATAACACAGACATGTTCACAAAAGTTAAATGTCACTCATGTTATCAGAACAAACAAACACCCTTTTCAGAAAAGAAATCTGCTACATGGAATCTCCCACCACATCTAAGTACCTTTCAGTTAATGTGGACCCAGCTCCTGTTGCACTGGATGCTGAAGCTGATGACTCAGCGCATGGAATTCTAAACTCCTTTTCAGTCTGGTCTTCCTTTTCTCTTTCACGGGCCTCTGAACACAGAGAGCACAGAAAAGACAAATAATCAAGTCTTTTAGAAAATATTAAAATTAGTGGCTTGCTGAGGATAGTTAGCCAACTTTCTTCATTTTCAGACCTACATGAAATATTTGAAAAGGTAACAGCAAATAAAACATTTAACCTGAAAATACTTTTACACATAAACTAAATTTCCATTGCTGCTGCAATGATCACACTACAAAATACTACAAGAAAACAAAAATGCCAGTTGTTCATTTGCACATGCTTTCAAACATAAGTTGATTACATAAGGATGCTGATATTTCAGTATTTTCAACACTATATTAAAGCAGCATGATCACTTCAGAGAACTTTTGATGTTTTCATAGTGCAGGGAACTAAATTAGTATATAAGCATACAGATGTGAACACTTGCAAGATACAGAACCAGGAAACATATCAGGTAGTGGAGGAGACATATGCGAAAGTTATCACAGTTATTCCAAAAAGCTAAAAATCAGAAGTGTATCTTAAGAAATCTGAAAATAAAATGCTCACATTAAGCCCCCCAACAAAAAGCTGTAACACATACACATTTTTGATTGCTATACACTGAATACTAAAAATTGTTTCTAAGTTAAACACCTGAACTACATACAAAGCTTTAAAATTTTTGGCAAAATAATGAACTTTACCAAAAAAATGCTGCATGCTTCCTTTACAGGCACAAGCCTAGAATCTGGGGGCAGGGCAGGGGGATGGGGTGGGGTGGAGCAGGGAAAGGAAGAGGATACATTCAAGACATAGGTCAAGATATCTTAACTTAAAAACTCAGGGGTTTTTAATTGCTTACTGAATCTCCCTCCTAAACAAAAACCTGATGATGTAAACAAATGATTTCTCAAGAGAAATGATAGCTCAAGTTGAACGAGTCTCAAACATAAAAAGGTTTCCAACATGGACACACATTGCTGTGTTTAGATTCAGCGAACACAAAAAAAAAAAAAAAACAAAACATTCCAAACTGAATTTGGGAATCCCTTGTATATTTGAATTTCACAGTGTCTTAAAGTCCACAAAGTCAATGAGCCCACACAGATCTTGTGGTTCTGCATAGAATCAAGGCAATAAAAAGCCCTAACATCGTAACATGATTAGATTATTAAGGTCTATTAATTTCATAAACCGTAACAGTTAAGAGAGCAGGTTAAGTATAATCTAGTAGGATGGAAGCTGCTCAACCGTGATGGCATCATATGAAAAACAAAACAGAAGGCGTACGTTCTGCACAAACTGTCCAAGCGGATGGAGAAAGCATGCAAAATTGATAAAGGGATTTCTAGAATATATATGAGTGCTCTTAAGGACCTTGTTTGGACTGCTGTTCACTTGGATACAGGCAGCAAATGATACAATTTCCTCCATCTACCACTCTCAAATCACCACCTTGAAAATGCACAGCAAAAGACAGAGACACACTTGTGGACTGCAATATAACCTGAGGTTTGGTATAAGACAAACACGTCTTCTTCATTATTCCGTTGTCTTTAGATTAAAGCTTCGTACCATCTTCCCTTCCAAAATACATACACAGCTAAGTAAAAGAAGAAAGGAAATACCCTCATGTTCAAATTCACCTTTTTCCTGTATCTGCAAGCTTGCACACTCACACTGCTCTTACATCCTCAGACCTCACAAGTAAATTAATAACTTTACTATCCATCAAGGCCCAAGCTGTTAAGGACTGTTATACTTGAACAAAACTGCGTCTATGTTTTGTTCTCTAGACAGCCAGTCCGAGACACTTCAAACATCACCCTAAGAGAGGAAATCAAAACATGTTTTAAAACGCATTAAGCCGACTACGCTTCTTACCCAAGACCTTTCTGCTCCTCTCTACTGCGGTTCTTCTCGTTTGCTCAAACATCGCTTCGAGGTCGAAAGTCCGAGCTTTCTTCCCTGAAAACAAAGAAAAAGCAGACTGGAACAGAGCCCCACCTGCAACTGAGAGGCTCTGCTCCCACCTCCACCAGCAGCCTCCGCCGGGGCTCCCCGGCACCTCCCGCCCGCATCGACACGCACCGAAGCCCGAGAACCCCATGGTGGCCGCCAGCTCCGGGTCGGGTGCCCCCAGCATCTCTGCGTCTGCAACGAGAGGGAGAAGAGAGGAAAGCACGGGGTCAGGGGGGGCCGCGGGCTGGGTTGGGCCGAGCCCCCGCGCACCCCGCCGCTCACCGCCCTCCGCCGCCGGCTCCATGCTGCGCCTGCCCCGGATCCACAACAGCCGCCGGCAGGAAACGGCCGGGCGGGACCAAAGGAGCTTCCTTCCCATCGCAGGAACCCGTCACGTCATGGAACCAACGCCCTGTTCCTGGCAGGGCCACATAAAACTGACCCACGTGACTACGAGTGTCGTGCAGACGCTCCTAGAGCTCTGTCAGGCTCGGTGCCGCGACAAATTCCCTGGGAAGCCTCTTCCAGGGACCGACTGTCCTCTCAGAAAATGAACCATTTCCTGATGTCCAACCTCAGTTTCCCATGACAACAGCTTCACGCCACCTCGTCCTGTCCTACTGCTGATCACCACAGAGATCAGATCAGAACCTCCTCTGCGCTGCCCCCATGAGGAAGGTGTTGCGTGCTGTGAGGTCCCCCTTCAGCCTCCTCCAGGCTGAACAAGCCAAATGACCTCAGCCTCTTCTCATAAGTCTTGCCCTTGAGACCCTTCACCATCTTGGTCCCCCTCCTCCTGATACACTCTAATAGTGTGATGTCCTTCTTAAACTGAGGTGCCCAAAACTGGACACAGGACTTGAGATGGGAAGTGCAACCCCACAGTACAGTGTAGAATTGGGGCCAGTGATACTGTGTCTCATGCACTCCAGGACACAGTTGGCCCTTTTGGCTTCCAGGGCATTGCTGGCTCATATTCAACTTGCCATCAACCCTAAAACTCAGCTTGCTTTTCATGGGGCTGCACTCCAGCTCTCATCCCCCAGTTTGTTTGTATAACTAGGATTTCCCTGTCCCAGGTGGAGAATCCGGCACTTGCTCTTGTTCCATTTTATATAGTGGGCAATTGCCTAGCTCTCTATCCAAATCTCTGTAAGGCCTCTCTATTATCAAGGGAGGCCACAGCTCCTCCTGGTTTAGTATCACCAAACTAACTTAATTCCTGCAAACCAGATCATTTATAAGAATATTAAAAAGCACTGTCCCTAAAACTGAGCCCTGAGAAACCTTGCTGGTGACTGGTTGATAGCGTCTCAATCTTGAGAAGATACAGCAAGAAATTCCCCATTTGCCATGTAAACCCTGCAGGGGTTGAGGCTTAACTTCAGGTTCTGCATTTGGAAAGCAGAGCAGGAGGATTTTGTTTCTTTTGCCATGAGCCTCTGCTATAAATGAAGCTTTCCAGAATGTGTGCTGGACCAATCCAGGAGCAGAAATTCAGTGCAGTCTAGGCAGCAAACATGACTTACAAATCAGACCCCTTCCCTGAAATCCAAGTTTCACCCAGCCCCAAAATTTCCTATGAAATGTCTATGCTGTTCAGAGCAGACACGTCACTTAGCAGAGACCCAGCCTTGGTAAGTTAACAGCCTGCTACAGTCACATTGATGTGTCAACCCAAATTCTGGAAAAACAGTAGCTTCCTCAGGCAACTTACTCTGCTTCCACACCTTATCTCTGAACAGAGGCACTGTGCACGCCTTGGAAGGGGAATCCCTGTGTTGTCCCAAACACAGGCTCCTTACCTGGTGTGTAGTGCCAATTTACACACCGAGGCGAGGCATTTCTATTTTTTTATTCTAGTTTGCACAAAGTAGGAAGATGTGTGGTAACTCACAAAAGGCCGGCCTCCCAATCATCAAAGCTTTACACTATTTATACATTTTAACAAACAAAGGCATTCACTGGTTACAAATTACATAATTTTTTATTAACCTCTATATGGTGCTTGTATCTCTCACTTGTCCTGCTAATTAGCCCATAGGTGCAGTTCTTCCTTCCTCTTGAGTTTGGGGTTCATTTTGAGTAGGTAGTCAATGACTCCGTGGTTGGGATCACCCACTGCTGAAATTACATCACACACTGCTGAAATTACCTTTACCCCAGTTAATGCTCAGTTCTGCTGACTTCGCTCCTTGTGACTCTTATCGAAACGATCTTGTGATTGTCTTCTCTTCTCCTTAAAACATAAGATTTGCTAAGTGTACAATGTTGAAATGCGATTGCTTAACCATAACTGTCCATCCACATCTACAAACTAAAAAAAATTGCAACACTTGACTCAAACCCCTATTGAAATCATAAGGGGCTCAGTATCACCCTGTTTTTGGCTTACATCACTACACACAAAGTCACAGAATCACCAGGGTTGGAAGGGACTTCTGGAGATCATCCAGCCTAACTTTCCTGCCGAGCTAGGGTCATCTGAAGCAGGTGACACAGGAACATGTCCAGGTGGTTTCGGAATGCCTCCAGAAAGGGACACTCCATGACCTCCCCAGGCAGCCTGTTCCAGTGCCCTGCCACCCTCAGTGCAAAGTTCTTCCTCATGTTAAGGTGGAACTTGTTGTGTTTTAGTTTATGGCCATTGCTCCTCATCCTGTCACTGGACACCACTGAAAAGAGTCTGCTACATCCTCCTGGCACCTGCCTTTGAGATAGTTATATGCATTAATGAGATCCCCTCTCAGTCTTCTCTAGACTAAACAGGCTGCCGCAGTCTCTCCTTATAAGAGAGATGCTCCAGACCCCTAATCATCTTTAGCCCTCCACTGGACCCTCTCCAGTAGCTCTCTCTCTTCCTTGGATTTTCTTCCGAAATCTGCGTATGTCTGTCTGATCTATACTGTAACTCCACAGTATAGATCACATAGTTATCACTCAGGCTGGCAGCATAAAACCACTAAATCATTTAGGCTGGAAAAGACCTCTGAGATCAACAAGTCCAACCTTTGTCAACTAAGACTCTCTTTGCCTGGGCTGTTGCAGGGACTGGAAAAGACCTACTGTGACTGCAGAGTGGACAGGCAGGTAGGGAGCTGCCCAGGGCCACACACCACTGACTGAAGCCACTTCCCACTGCTCTCCTCAGGGCCCTCCTGTGCCTTTGAGGGGTGGCACAGCACATTACTCCTGTCCCTCGGGTGACCTTGGGGATCCCTGCAGGATGCAGCACAGCCCCGACGGGGCTGTCAGAGCAGATCAAAGAATCACAGAATGGGTCAGGTTGGAAGGGACCACAGTGGGTCACCTGGGCCAACCTCCCTGCTCAAGCAGGGCCATAGAGCACATGGCACAAGGTTGTGTCCAGATGGTTCTTGAATATCTCCAATGATATTCAAGGGAGACTCTACAGCCCCTCTGGGCAACCTGTTCCAGTGCGTGGTCACCTGCACGGTAAAGATCTTCCTCGTGTTCAGATGGAACTTCCTGTGCATCAGCTTCTGCCCGTTGCCTCTTGTCCTATTGCTGGGCACCAACGAGCAGAGCCCGACTCCATTCTCTTGGCACACAGCCTCCTTTAGATATTTATACACACTGACGAGGTCTCCTCTCAGTCACCTCTTCATCACACCTGCTTTGTCGCCTCTTCGCCTCATCCCTCCCACCCGCGCAACACCGGACCCGCCCGCCCCGAGGGCGTTCCCACTGCCGGGACGCCCATTTTCCGCCCCCCTTCCCTTCCCATCTCCCGCTTCCCGCCGCCGGAAGTAGCGTCGCGCGCGGGGACTGCCGGGATTGGGCGGGCGGTGGAGCTGCGCGGGAGTGTCGCCATCGCCGCCGCTGATCGCGATGCCCGCGGCCACGAGCCCCGCGGCGCCGGCCGCGCAGGAGGCGCTGGAGGCGGCCGGTCGCATCATCGACCGGCAGATCCAGGACGACCGCTGCTACCCGGACCTGTCGGAGCTGCTGGCGGTGCCGGCGCCCGGTGAGTGAGGGGGCTCTGCTCGGGTGCCGCTGCCCCCGGAGCCCCCAGGACCCACCGCGGGGCGGCCCCGGCCGGCGCTGCCCGGGCAGACACGCGCGCGGGCCGTGCTGGGGCCGGGCCGGGTCTAAGGGGCTGCTCCGTCACAGCCTCGGTGCGCGGGTGGGAGCTCTGGCGGTGAGCCCTGCGGGGGCACTGGGCTGGATCTGCCTCCTTTCCCTCCAGAAGGTGAAGAAAACGGCGCTAGTTTTCTGTTCTGCCTATTGGGAATCTCGTGCAGGATGCTCTCGTGGTAGCCCGTGCGCCCATCCCTAAGTTACAAGCAGCCTGGAAAGCTCTTCTTCGGCTTTAGTTTGTCTCTAGCTTTGTGTCACACATGGGTGTGATGTGAGGCATACGTCTTTTCAAACATTTATCTTCCTTAACACATCAAGGCAGCATTTCTCCATTAGTGCTGACTGTTTGGCAAAGTGGGCTGTGAAGAGGCACTCTAGAGCTGTAGGTGTATAATTAATATACGTCCAGGAGTGTCTGGATGCATACGAAGAGTATCTGTTTTCTGCTGTGGTGTGTATGGCCAGAGTGTAACTGCCCTGACAGCATCATGGATACGCGTCACATAAAATAATGGGTGTACATGGGTGTTTTGACTTGGTACTGGGAGTACAGATCACCTTTTCTAGGTGAAGGGATATGCTCCTGGGTTCTTCTAGTATGTATCTGGCCATACAATGAATAAAGGGCTGGAAAGTGTCATGGAAAAAAAGGGGGTAAGGAGCAGGCTGGGGTCTAGATGAGTTGTTCTAACAGTTTGTCTGCAAACCTGTTTGCTCTTGTCTGATTTAAAGTTTAGATTTATTGTTCATGGTTCTACTTACAGAAATCTTTGTTCACATGTATCTTGTGAGTAGTGGTATTTATATGTTTAAAGTCTCTGTAGCATCAAGGCATTTGATCATTTTTTATTCTTACTTGCAGGTAGCCCTACTGTTTCTGGTATGTCGGATATGGATTATCCTTTACAAGGACCAGGTTTGCTGTCAATACCTAATCTTCCAGAGATCAGCTCAGTCCGCAGAGTCCCACTTCCACCAGAGCTAGTGGAGCAGTTTGGACGTATCCTTATGAAAAAAATATGTTAGATTGGTAAGCAGTAATATTAGAAACAAATTTCTTTCCTCCATGTTCTTCTTCCCCAATCTTCTTGACAGACTCCCAGTAAGAAAATTTTATGTTGTTCAGGTTCTCTTCATAGCGCTCCAAATGGTCCATTTGTGTAGAGTTCCTGGTGGAATTGGTTATTGTATGAAGAATTTTCAAGTATATGGTACACCGTTTCTGTACTACTGCATATTAATTAATAGGATTTTTTTA